CCATTTGTTTCACGCATACTGTGTGCACTTCTCAAACAGGTGTTTTGTTTTAATCCATTTGTTAAAAATGAAATAAACCACTCTCTCTTCATACCAGGAATCTCGCGAATGGTAAATAAGTGAAATCCAAATCCAAACTCCTTTGTCTGACGGCGCTGTTGAGTCGTTTTTTGCCTCTTCGCTACAGCTGAGAGTGAATGGAAACCGATAACACTAGAAGAGTGAGGGGACATATTTCTCAAAATATGTGAAGAGGAAAATAGGCTAATAAATATAGGTGGAAGACGCTGCGCCAAAAGGAAAATCACCAGCAACAGCCGACGAGGGAAGCCCTGGTGTGGCGTCAAGGGGTTCCGTGCATCCAAAATCGCCCTTAAATGGTCAGCCCTGTTTTGGCCATCACCCGAGAAAGGGATGCCACTCGGCACACGTTCTCAAAATACAGCTTAAGGGTTTTTTGTTTGTTTTTGTTTTTTTGTTTGTTTTGTTTTTGTTTTTTGTGCAATGTTCCCGCGTGCGTTGTTTGAACACTTCCATCAGATCGAGACTGCTCGAGACTGTAGCTATAGGCGGATTCACATGGATTACTCTTCCGCCCACGTCATTTTCATTATACAGTACTGCAATCGACTGTTTTCTATTGCTGTGGACTATAATACTGGTTTTGTGCCAAAACTAACGCGTTTGTGCAGTTGCGCAAAACAATCACGTTGTGATCGCCAGTGTTGTTTTAATCAAAGCATCTCTTAAACGCCTAACTTCAATCCTGCAGCGTGCGTTAGCAGACAGTATTTTTCGAATTGTTTCAGAGGGTTTAAATGGTCATGTATATGTATTCAAAATAAAAAAATACATGTGAGTTCGCTTAAATACTTAAAACCGTACATGCCAGAGTAGTGAGTCCAGGAATGACCGCGGATCTTTGCAGAAAAAAAACTCATTACCTTGACCTTTTCAAAGACACTGTGGCTCTCTATACACCTATCCCAGACATAGCCAGATCTTCTTAAGTCAATGCTGGCGTTGTAATTTTAGTGGAAACACGGTTTTATCCGAGTCGTGACTGCTATAGTGAGTAATATGTGCGCGTTGGCTGCGTCAGGAGATGCAGTCGCTGTGCGGTGCAGACAGAAGGGGGAGAATCGTGACTGAGTAGAGACGTCCGCAAATGATGCGACCACCAAATAAAATTCTCATAATGGTGGCATCTGGGCTTGGATTTATTTTTGTTTTTAGTTTTTTACACCTGTTACATCTCAAGCCATATCTCTTTTGCCTAGCCACCTCAACCTCCCCTTGCACCACGAAGGCGCAAGAAGAATATCAGTGATTAAAGGGAAGGGAGGGGGGAGATCTTGGTTCGGGATGAATTTGAACTGCGGGGAGGGAGGGATTTGGGGGGATTTGAAGTATACCCACTTCGTATAGTTCCTTGCATAGTTCCAAGAAGAGTCACTCTTTAACAATTCTGACAAATGATCGCATGGATGCAAGAAAAGAACTTCACGGGTAAGTGAAATGAAGTCACATTCCACAGCTGGATTGAGATTATGGCCAAAATATATGCCAGAGGGATCACACTTTTGATGTGTTGTCATGCCTTTATTACTTGTTTTCCTCAAGTTGTGAGAAATTGACGGCTGTTGATGCATTAAAAAAAAATGTTGTTGTTGTTGTACAGTTGGATGTTGAAAATTGATGTAACGTTCTTCTGATGCCAATCGCTTAGAAACGCACCATTTTCTTGTTTGTTGTGCCCGCAGGCGATGATGCAACTGTAATGTATAGAATTTGTTATGTTTTGCTGATAGTTTAGAGACCCCCGTGTCCTCACTGAGTGGTATCAGCTAGTGAACTCTCTGTGGTCATGCAATGAAATTACCTCGGAAGCCTGTCGTGTTGTTGTCGTCGTGCTGGCGATGTGCTGCTTTGTTTTACATGCACGTTAGAACCCGACGCCTCCAAAATGTTAATCGTTTTGAAAACGACCCTAATGTCTGTTTTGAATGGATACATGTCGCTGTACTTGCAGACATGAATGCACGCCACCCCGACATGGTGCGCGAGAGACGTGGCAACCCATTTTGAAACGTGACATGGCGAACGAATTCGGCTTCAAAACAAAAAAATGATAAAAACATTTAATGTTATTGTCTTAAACGGAATATTTCTGGTCACTTGCGCCAACTAGGATACAATTTGGTTTCCCCTTTCTTTCTTTCTTTCTCTTTTTTTTTCAAAAAGGGGGGTCCCTATATGAGCAAGAAACCGATTGGTGGATGACGATTTTTTGTTTGCGCCAATAAGATCTCTCGCTGCTCTATTTATTGCGAGCAGATTACAGACTGCTCTCTCCTCACCAAGAGCGCTTCATCTGCTCAATTCTCCGGCATCACGAACCAGAGGATGTATTTCATAGTAGCAACAAAACGGCGAGGCGAAAAGAAACGAGTTCAATGGTCGCTCTATCACATTTGTGTCTTTGTTTAGATGCAATTATCGCAGCGCACGTCGGGTAGGCACGAGCGACTACAAAAGCCAGCGAAAATAAACTACTGGGAAGGAGTGAATTCAGAACCACGGACAGCGCTCGCACTCAGAATACAGGCATTTGGATGCTGGCTGCTCTCAAAGCTTCCCATGCTCGTAGAATGTGAATGAGTTGGATACAGTACAGCCACGGAAAAGGGCTTCGCGGTCTGGACACAATAGGAATGGGAAACCAGAGCCATGCACAAGCCACCTGGATGTCACTGTTTGATGTCACGGACTTCAGACCGCGATTTGTCTTTCGCGAATCTTTTTGCGGTCTGGGCTTGCTGTTCATAAGTATCTAGCTGGGAAGCCCTTACCCCAAAAAGCATTTGCGGAAGGCGCATTCACCGACTGATCCGCTGCGTGGATTAAATGCTTGCATTATTATTATTATTATTATTATCATTATTATTATTACTGTATTTATTTTCTACAAATACTTTATTTTTCCCCAAAAATATATTATCACTGTATTGCGGTTCAAATGTAAAGCCGAACTTTTCTCTCACGTCCCCAAAGTCTAAGATCCCTCCCTGTCGAGAGTTATCTGGCGTCTCCATTGCCAGAATATTTACTCTCTTTAATACGATTACAAAAAGTCACCCAAACAAAACCACAGTTCCACCAACGAGCCTCCCAGTTTGCACGTGGGAAAACACAGTGGTCCATTCGGGGAAGAGAGGGGGGGGGGCATCTCGTTAGTGTGCTATTCACTTAGAAGCCAAACAATGTTGAAATGACCCCACCCTGTTCGCAATAACATATAAGCTGTATAACCCTTCCCGACGCAGTTATAGTTCTACATGGGTTTAAAATTAAAATATCAGCCCATTGACAGAGTGCCAATGTGTGTGTGTGTGTGTGTGTGTGTGTGAGAGAGAGAAAGAGAAAGAGAAAGAGAGAGAGAGAGGACGTCACCATAGGGGCCCAAAGACAACAAGGTTTCACCCAACCTCATCGTTTTTTTTTTCTTTTATTTATTTTCTTTCCTTCTTTTTACACACGCCCTCGTTCCTTCTCACACACTCTCAGACACACACACACACACACACACACACACACACAGTATTTTGGAAATATGACACCTCAATGAAATATGACACACCTACGCACACCCAGGATATAGCATGTAGACACATTGGGTGATAAAGTTTTTATGCCATGCAGATACAGTCCATTGAGAAATTCTCAGCAACTGAGAAGTGACATGATCTGTGTCACTACAATTTTGAAGTCAGGTCCCCTAAGTACCACATAAGTCATTTCCTGTTTTCAGTTTCGACGTGTCCCCTGTCCTATATGCGAGAGGAAGTGCAAACACAAATGCCCCTATTATAGGCTACAGTATTTGGAAAAGGCTCCAAAGTCTCTTAGTGACGACAACCCTAAATTCCTTCAGGTTAGACAAACATTAATTTCATCTCAATCGTATGTGTTCCCTCACGTTATTGCATTATAACAAAGATGCATTCCTTTGATTATATGGTTATAAAATTAGAGCAATTAAAAATGACGTAGAGAAGAGGTCCTCTTGAAATTGGTTAAAAAATATTAGAAAACTTTAACTTCATGGAGTTTTGCATATCATGTAGCCAAATTTTTTTCCACCCTGATAAGCTTAAACGCCTGAAAAAGTTGCTCATACTTAAAGAAAATTAGTTCGACGTTATGGTCAAGCATTACAAAATTGTTAAATTAAAAATCCTCTTTGCTGATAGCTAAACTGTGAAATGCAATAATGTAAGTGTTCGTTTTGAGTTTGAACATGTTTTTTTGATTCAAGTGATTGATTTGATGCTCACTCAAAAGAGGCGAGCGGAGACAGAAGGTTGATTTAGTGTTCGGATGAAAAATATACTAACGCGGATTTTGGTGGCCTAATAAATTTAAATCATTACATCATATTTGACTGCAAGAATCCGTGATTAAATTGGGTTAGAACTATTATAATATTGTATAAACAGCATCAGGAGGAAGCTCCTACGCCAAGCATGTGCATCGTGAAAGTGTTTTCTTTAGTTTGCTTAAACAGCATGTTTATTTCTGTTCATTGAACTTATACCAATAGTTTCAATCATTTCTGCTCGATTTCACGAGATTTTCGAGTTTTCTGCATGAGGGGTTAAATTCCAAGTGGTCGAAAAAATGCAAGAAACTTTTCTAAACTAATACATTTAGCCAGCAATTACTGTTAAGTTATAAAGTTTACTGACCTATATTACTTTTTGTACTGTCTACACGCATGTAATGAAACGTTTCGTGACGTCCGTGTGCGTCTCTTTGGTTCCATAGACTCTAAAGTGAGTGAAACATATTCTCGTGCTCTGCGTATCTAAACTTATTTGAAAAAGTGCACAAAACGTGTTTTTTGTGTGGACTGAATGGCACGATGCAGCTGCGAAGGGCTTTTCCATGCTCTCATTTGTTTTTCACCCCGTTTTACTGTTCCCAACTCTTTTCAACTCCTTGTTCACCAAACATGCCTTGTATATTTTTCAGAAGCTGCTAAACTGCCCAAACTGCACATTCAAACGACCCCACTGTTATTTATGTACAACTTTGTGCTCTTGTCTTTGTGCACAGGGCAGGACAGAACTTGAGGCATCCATCGTGTCAAGTACGGAGGGTGAAATGAACAGCTCGACTCACAGAACGATCCCAGACGGTGTTGCTCGTGACGTCACCGGCGTCGTAAGTTCATTCTTTCTGTCTCAGCCCTTTGCGAGAGTGGCCTCTGTTCGTGCCATTGTCTGCCAGTAAGCGCTTGAAACTGCAGCAGGCACAGGATTTTTTTGTTCCAGTAATACAAGGTTTTAACAGTTGAAGGTTTTTCTTTGTTATTTTTATGCCTATCAAATTGTTGTATTCAACGGTTTCAGGCCTGTGTAACGTCTTAAGTGCTCCAGTTGTACTTTACAGTTAAACAGTCTGAAAGTCACTAAGGTGGGTGTGGCACCCTGTATAGTGTGTATCAGGACAATTACATGGTCATTTAAAAGTCTTTCTTTTAGTTTAACATGTGAAAATTTTAAGTTTTGATAGAAAAGCATATGAAGACTTTTATTGGTATTGCTTATGGTAAATACAGCATGATTTATTCTATTGTGAATTGTTATGTATGATTATATATTTATGCTTAATATACCTTAAATATTTATTGCTTTAACAATTAGGTAGAATGCAAATACATTCTCAGAAGTGTAAGTGTACTTGATATGTGCATAGACGCATATGCACATATGTGATTTAATATCTGTACACATATGTAGATAGTTTTAAAAATAAAAAAGGTATTTAAGTGTTTTTAAGTACAACAAAAGTACCTACAAATATTTGGTAGTTTTTGTGTATGTTTTAGCTCTCACTGCATGCCGTTACTTATATTACACAGACTTGTATTGAACGTCTTAAGTGAAATGACCACTGAAGTTATATGAGATATTACGTTGAGCTGCAAAATATAAAAAATGAAGCTACGTAAGTGGGAAAAAAAATGATATATGCAGTGGCTCGTCAAGAGTTTTAGTTTTCTGTGGAGTTAAGGATCTTAGTGTGTGACTTTCAGAAGTATTTTAACAGTATTGCTCATTGCAGGTTAGTTTAGAATAATGTACAAGGATTCTTTTCATTTGTTTGTTAAATGGAAAAAATATAAATGTATCATAAAAATATTTATAACCTACAGAGTTAAGGGGCATTATTAACACAGGCTGGATGGTACGAAAGACCTTGGAAGATAAAATTATCCAAGCTTTTTTTTATTTTTTATGTCTTTCTTTTTTAAGGAATTAGTGCCACAATATTGTTTGATTTGGTCTTTAAACACTATAAACCTTTTAAACCTCCCAGCAGAAATTTCATGACACGATGTTGAGATGCAGACACACAACCTGAGACAAAGAGTTTTAATACAGATTTTAAAAGGAATACTTACAGATTACTGTACTGTAAAATCGCAAATATTATTTTGTACATTTTCTGTATATAAGTCATACTTAACAGACACTATTTTATATTTTTAGTGAAGCTAGAGATGGACTGCAACACCGGTTACCATGGGTTATTTTCATTTAACAGTCTATTTAAATTGCAGATTTAAACACTTATCAAAATAAATATTACATTACATTAAAATAAATATCGACATTATTGTTATAATATCTCATATTTATATATATTTTGTTTTTTTATATACCTGTAGTCTGAGACTTGAGATGCATTCAGATCTCACCAGCACTACACACAGGTACTTTTTTTTCTCAGAGAGATACTTCACTCATGGCTATATATGTTTTTATATGTCTCTCTCTTTGAAGAATGAATTCAAACACTATGTTTTATGTTTTTTTGATAAATTAGCTATAGGTTTCTTATTTGATTAACAGGGTGAGCAAAAGACGTCACCCGGTATTCTCACCCGGTCAATTTTAACTTATTAAAGATGCACATCTCAGAGAAAAGACCCTATTGTTCAGTGTTAGATGTTAGATTTAAATTGTGCTTATTTTTTCTAAACAAATAATGTGTTTGTTTGTTTTTTATCTTTAATTTTTTCTTTATCTTTATAAACGGTATTGAGTTCTTTTTAACACTCACAAATTCACGTTAAACTATTAATAACCACAATCTAAATCAGGCTATAAAAATAAAAACAACTTAAAAGCATCACAAACAAGTAATTTACAACTTCCATTATCTATTATGATTAAAAATATGATGTTGCAGTTATTAAACAGCATACTGTTTTTTCATGTTGTTTACTGTTTTACCCTTTTTTCCCCCTTAGCTCATCCCCTCGGGTCTTTCTCAGTGTATTATTTTCCAATCTGAGGAGGACATGTCATGTCAAAAACATGTTCTAAAAACATGTCCTCACAAATATTTAATTATGATACGGTGATACACCAATACCATTTAAAGCATTTTTACCTCATTCTTTGACTTTCCTAAATTGTTTGCAAAATGACATATGAGATGTAGTAGATTTTAAACTTTAACTGTCCTTTTAATCAGTCCACAGGAACAGGATGTCAACATTAGCCTGTCGTAACAACAAATAATACTTATGGAATGATGCCTGCATGGACTAACAAGAGGGATACATACATATGTGGCCCCCCGTCCCTTCTTTCCCTCTTTTCTCACATTCCCTCCATCCATACATGGATGAGTCAGGGAAGGTGTGAGGGATGAGTCAGTTCCGGGCGGAATTTTTAGGGAAGGGGAGTGGCTGCTTGTTCCTAAGAGGGTGGTCCCGTCATGTTAACATGGCATGACCTCACTGGCACAGAAATACCCGTTCACGCATTCACTTGCCATAAATCTGCTCTCTGCATAACCAGTGCAAAAGCAGTTCATGCCTGTTTATATATATTCCCAGTTAATTCCAGTTTTTAAATGTAATCTTTTGGTAAAATATATTAATTTAAATGTGAGTCTGAAGCTTTCAGTTACCTAAACAGCACTAAATGGCACCGAAAAAAAATAGCTTTTCATTAAAAAATAAGCTTACGTCCATTAAAATTGGGCTGTTCTTAAAAATATCTCACTATGATGAACTGCTCTTAGTATTTCACAGCCAGTCATATAGATTTAAATAAAGTGTACTGATATAAAAGTGTGTGTAGGAACTAAGTTTATTAAATATAACCTAAGATTGTAATTTGTTCTATGAATGGGAAAAAAAAAATTCTAACTTTACAGTGTTAGAACACATTCATGTACATACAGAATAATCTAAAATCTAAAATAATCAAATATAATATAATCAAATTAGCTAAAACAATACAAAAATAGTCTTTATTAAGTATTAAATGTCAGTACTATTTATTTATTTTTTAAATCAACAATTTTAGCACAAATAAAGATTTTAGACGCTGTGTGTATGGGTGTGTATTTATGTTTGGCTGCATGTCTGGATGTTTTTGGGGGGTTTCTTGGTTAATGTTTGTGTCTTTTATTTGTAGAAAATCTGCTGATGACTGGAGGTCTATGCAAAAGTGAGATGTGACGTGAACTGACTGTGCTCCTCATGGAAGGAGAGGGAAGGCTGACAGGCATGGAAGTTGATGGGGGGAAAAGGAGGGGTTTACCAATAAACAAGGTATCAACCGACACCTATTTAGACCCAAAAACATCTACAGGGAAGCATGGGAGTGCCCCGCACTCAAATAAGTTGTAATGTAAATGCACTTTCTGTGCTATAACATCCATTCGCACCTTAGACTTTGCTGATGAGTGAAACTCAGTGACCTGCAAATCTTGACTGATCAAATGTGTAAATTGAAGAAATTATTTTGCAAAAGTGAATCAGTTACAGAGAATGTTCAAAAATAGCACGAACTGGCACGAAACAAGGAATATGGAAAAAAGCAGAATTCAGTTTTTGGAGCATATAATGTCATAAAATCACCTTTAGAAATGTACAAATCTTTTTCTTTGTCAAAAAATCAAGTGAGCAAAACCTTCAAAGCACACATTCCGTCGTGTTTTTGCATGCTTGCGTCGTCTGCTTTGAAAAATCTTCCAAAAGAGTAATGATCCTTATTACATGTGTTAAAAGAAAAAATAAGGTTTTTAAGTAGTCGCTGATCATGTATATAATATTAAAAAACAATATAGATGTGACAGGTCAGGTCTGAAAGTACAGGCTCAGACAACACATAAAATATGACGTACAGAGGGAAACACTTATCATATTATTGCAGTCTTGCTGACAAAATGGATATTGTTTATATATAAAAAATTACAGCTAGTTTTTTAAACAGCTAATTTAAAAAACATTTGAAATGTATTTTATTTTTTTTATCAAACTATTAAAACCAGCAATCCAGAAGGGATGTATCAAAAACAGGGGCATTGCACAAAAACGTTGGCTGAACAAATTAGTTAAAATTAATACAATATATTTGTTGAAGTGAAAGCTATACATTTTTACCTGTGTATGTATAAATGTTGATATTTCACAGTTTTTAATGGTACATCAACTAAACTGATATTAAAAGATTATTAAAAAGCTTAGTATGTATTTTATCTGCTATTAAGCTATTCATCTTTAGTAATACAAAAACCTCTATTAAAAATAAGACAAATATCTTAGTAGAAACTTGTTTTATACAAATCATATGGAAAGTAATAGAAACCAGTGAACTACTCACTCAATTTCACCCTAGACTTTGAGGTAGTATGCACATTTTTAAGCCGTCACACAAGTTTTTAAAGGGTTGCATAACTTGTGTGCCCTGTTTTTGGTCTTTTTGTGTGTGTGTGTGTGTGTGTTTCTTTTTTTTTTTTGTATATGAATGTAGAGCCAGTAAGACTGAGCAGACTGACGTATAACCACATTAGATGTACAAGCATGCTAACTCAGTGGTTGGTACTTGATACACTGGAATATTTTATATATAATAATAATTTTTGCTGCATATCAAGTTTCAGCATAGATTATTATTAGGTATATATACAGTTTGAATGATGCTGTAAAGCTAATTGTCATCATTTTGTTTGATTTTATATTGATAAAATCTTAAACTTAAAACTTAACTTATTATATATTGTACCCCTTAAATAGTTTGTATGTCTTGAGGGAAGTATTGGGGGGGTCTCAGGAAACACATTTGACCATGGTGACGTCGTTTTTATGACTGTCGTGAGCAGATTTTCATTGAGCAGGCCAGATCTGTATCCAGTGCCCACAAATAACTGTGAGATGTGTTGCTTGTGTCATATGTTTGGTTGTACCCACACAAAATGCACTGGGAATGTGTGTGCAAGTGTCAGAATGCTTTGTGGATTGTGGATTGTGGATTGTAGATGTGTGTGTAAGATGTCTTGTGTGTGTATGTATACATCTGTTAGAGAATGTAAAGGCAGATGTGTGTGTTTCGTCAATATACAGATGGAGATGGAGTGTGTGTACATGATTGTGTATCAGCAAGAATGCATAAGAAATGTGTGTTGTGTGTGTGCGTGTGTGTGTGTTCTGGTATATATGATTTATGAGGACACAAATGTGTATAATGACATGGGTACTACAACGTAAACATGGTTTATGAGGACACTTCCTGTGTCCCCGTAAAACAAAAGGCTTAAAAAACATACAAAACGGTGTTTTATGAAATTCAAAAACTGGCAGCAGTTTCCTGTGAAGGGTAGGTTTAGGGGTAGGGTTGGTGTAGGGCAATAGAAAATACAGTTTGTACAGTATAAAAACCATTACGCCTATGGAGAGTCCCCGTAAACCACAAATACAAGTATGTGTGTGTGTGTGTGTGTGTGTGTGAAATATGCAAATATACCATGGTAATAGTGATGTGTGCACATTTATGTACTAAAATGAGTGCAAAGGGAATGTGCGTGTGTGTAAGTATTAAAGAACGCATTATTTTAATACATTTATGTGTGTATCAAATATCTTGTGCACATTTATGGATATATATTGTGTAAATGTTCAAGAATACGACAGATAAAGTGAGTGTGTGTGAGTCTATGTGCACATTAATATGAAAGCATGGTTATGTGTATGTGTTAGTGTGTGTCAGAATGCTTTGTATATTATTTTAAGGTCTGTGTGTGTTTGCAAAACCGAACATTTGAATGTACGTTTTAATTCATGCACAGATATATACGTATTGGTGAGTGTGTGTGTATATGTTCGATAATGAATGTAAAGCATGTTTTGGCTGTTTTTACAGACATTAAGTGTGTGTATTTTGCGTACGAACAAAAAGTGTGTGTAAGTGTATATCAGAAAGCTTTGTATCATTATCGCAAGGCCTCTGTGTGTGTGTGCAAAATGTTTTGTGTTAATATGAATGTACGTATGAGTGAGTGTGTGTCTAAAGGGCCATGTGTGTGTTTTTTGTCAATTGTACTGACAATATAAGTGTGTGTGTATTTACATACCTAAGAGCGCACATGGATGTGTGTGTTTGTGTTGTAAGGTTTATGTGATTGTTTCGAGGCCCTAAAACCGCTTGTGTGTGAATGCATACATATATGAGTGTGTAAATGCGAGCGTGTGTGTAAATATGCACAGAAGGCTTGTGTGTGATTGTTTGAGCACATTTAGAGGGCTGGATGTGTGTGTACGTTAGTGAGCACACGGCTGAGAGGTTGTGAAACATATGCATGAGCTTTGAGAAAGAGACAGCAGGGCAGACGAGCCAAAGACATTCAGATATATAGTGCAGCATTGTTTAAAATAATTTAGTTACATTTATATTTATTACATTTTCTTTTAAATGCAATTTTAAGTCTAAATATATAGTTTTGTAAATATATTTGCTGTAAATCTTATATTTATGTGTTTGGTGTGTGTTTAGTAAACAAACATACGTACTTTACAAGTAAATTTGCTACATTTAAGCTTCTTTTATAAAATAAAATGACGCAGAATAATTTGAAAGACTGTCATTTTATTCTAAAATACAGATATGATGAAACTTTAGTAGTTTAGAGCAGGTTTGCTTCAAAATATTAATTTTGACAAATTATGTATTGTAGATGTTTAAGAAAGAAGGACTAACATAGAATGTTTTAAATCACTGGTATCTATACAGATGTGATTAATATGAAAAGGTTGTTTGAAATTTATGAGATGAACAAGGATAAAAGTCTACATGATACATGTCTGTGGTGTGTGTGTGTGTGTGCAGCAGCATGTGTGATATTGTTTGTGAGCAGAAAAAATATATATTGTTAAAGAACACACCCTAAACAAATATTTATTTTTCTGTAAATGTTCTTAAATCACTGCTGATGTATAAAATCATAAATCTTGATCTGTTTTTGCATCCTTTCTCTTTCAAACTCTAGTGTCTAGTGTGGCAAAGGCCTCAGCTGTGAGAATAATGATTTTCAGCTTATAAATGTACTATAAACGTTATAAATGTTCTATATATTTTATGAATGAGCAGTAGTTGTGATAAAAACTTGAAATATGTTTTAGAAAATGTATTTTAGTGCAATAGAATGTCATCAATGATTTTATTTTAGATTATACATAAATGATGCATTATTCAGAGGATATTATCTTTTTTAAAAATACTAAAAGGTGCTTTATTTTTCCCCCCATAGGATAAAAATCTGGGAAAACGTTACCTTGTATCCTGCACACAAGATCAACGTCAAACCAACGTCTGTTAGACTGCTTTACACCTGTAAATGGATATTCAGCAAGTTGATTACTTTGTAGGAACAACATAACATCGTCAGGTATTTGCAATATCTGTCTGTAAACTACTTGGGTTTAATAAATGACCTGGACTTGCTTACTTTGTCACGTGCACAGACGTCTGAGACGCATGAGCTGTGAGACGTAAGGAAATATGAAAATGATATAGTACGTATTTGAGCTTTAAAAAATGTTTACTTGCACATAAAACCATGTATAGATACATTTGTTGTAATTATTTACCTAAATGAGTGAAACTGTATAGACAAGATGCACGTGAACGCTTGTGTTGAGTTGTGTTGCTTTAATTCTCAAAGACGTGAAGGCAAACACAGACTGATTTAATCTTATTTGTTCTAATTAAATTATAGCCTATATGTAGCTTCAAATGGAATTGTTGTGACTGTGATAATAAGAACGTGTGCGTAACGCGAGCGTCTGCGTCTGTAGACTTGTGTGAAAATTACAGGCGCGTTTTTTTTTTAGCTTGTGGTGCTTTATAATTGTTAGGGTTACATATTTGTGAGATCTTAATAGTTTGTTTAACATGTTGTATGAAGCTGCAGACGGAGAGTTGGAGCTGTCAGGCGTTCGCTGTCCACTGCACGTTCTGCTGCTGCTAACGTATCACTCCCACGGTCCAAATGAGCTTAGGACTCAAATAATGCTGTTTTTTTTTTTATTAGTTCTTTCGCTAGATATGTTTATTATATCGTATATATGTAGTCACTCCCACGGTCCAAATGAGCTTAGGACTCAAATAATGCTGTTTTTTTTTTATTAGTTCTTTCGCTAGATATGTTTATTATATCGTATATATGTAATAAGGTTTCATAACTAGTGTTGAGGGAGCATTTTGACCACAGTAAATGTGAAATGTGACTTGTTGGAATTATTAAGGGTCAAAGGGGCTGGGTCCTGCAGAAAGGGGGAACATAAATATGTTTAAATTAAATAATAAAGATTATAGGCGTCGAGTTATTCTTAAAATGTATGTGGTAGTTTTAAGGTTCGTCTAAGCAAAAGTTACAGTAAAATATCTAGATTTTGCATCAGTTATTATTTGTAGTATAATAATTAGCCTACAAAAAATAACACTGTTAATGCACTATGTATCGGATTGCTTGTGCCTTACGTACATATTTATTGCTTCATAATTATAGTATTTTCTGCTTTGCTGTTATTGTATATCATACAACCCAAAATGTGCTTAACAGTTTGAGCTGAATTGAGTAAAATGAGTAAAGTGTGGTTGCTGCAGTGTGGACGACGTAAGAACGTAACGTGTGAGTTCTGCATTTCTGAGTATTTGAATGTCATTTCTGTATAGTGCACAGAGAAAAATATACTTCAGTAACGATTCGCCCCTGACTAATTGTTTAGCTATTTCATTACATGAAACAAGCTGTACATGTGGTGTGAGAAATATATGATGTGATTATATTGCAAAATCTAAAAGCTGGAAGTTTATCGTTCACGTGACAAAGTTATGAATCACGTATTTTGTCATCAAACTGCTTGCTTTCTGTATTGTCTATTCCATGTCAGATAAAATAAAATGTTTGGAGTTATTTTAGAGTCTGCTTGCTTATTTGTCTGTTTTTAAGTGTGGGGAAACTGGAAAATTAACACCAATTTGTGACATATTGAAAACGTTGTGTGTTTAGAGCCTTTAGGATATAAAAAAAGACAAATGTAGCGTGAGGGGGGCAATACACAGAGAGAAAGGCTTCCACAGCCAGAGTATCTTACAATTAAAAATACAGACATTAAAATGTTTTTCTTGACGACGCCAATGATTTTTTCTACTAAACAGCATGTGGTTTACATGTTACATATGTTACTTTAATTATTCACATATCGGTGGGCTTATATTTGAGGTTAAGTTTCGGGTCGCGAGTGATGTGTTGGAGTGATACAGTATGTGTAGTAGTCTGACTGAATGTCATACTGACAAGCTAGGACCGAGCCCAGAGCAAAACATCCGACTGGACGCGAGTTTCGCCGCTTACAACACTCGCGTATCGTTTTCGTACCTGCATGCATGTGTAAGTCGATTAATATGTGTTTCACAACAGTTTACGCTGTATTTTCACAGGTTGCTCAGCTGCAAATCTACTACGTGCCTATGTGTTTACATAACCATCCTCTCTTCCGCGTTACTCTCGCCGACAGTTCTCGCGATGTTTCGTCGCAGCGCTGTGTGGTAATTGTAGTTTCATGTGGAGGAGGTTCACCGTTTGATTGAATAGAAATAATAAGCTTGTCTACATTATAAAATAAGCAGAGTTTTCCCAACATATGCTTTTAAAATCATCTTAACGTGGGTTATTCGCTATTCACGGTGTAAAATATCAATTGCTTCCCCATCCAACGACGTATCACTTGTTACTACGTAGAACTGGAGGATCGTTATTGGTGTTTATGTTTTACATTACATTATTTTATATTGATATTTTTTACTTTATTCGCATTATTTTCAATGATTGCTCTAATCACCATAAAACAGTTTTATTTTACTATTATAGAAACACTTAGTCCTCAACACACACACACACAAACGTGTAAAAATACTGTTAAATATGACACTGTAAATGAATATCATGTGATGTGGATCATTATAAGGGGTTCTATCATTAGTAATTTTGCTTGGTTATGTGTATATAGCTAAGCATTTATATGCTGTATGGCTCTGTATGTATGTATATGTACACTTTTTATTCTTTATACGATGTCTTTGCAATATTCAAAATACATTAATGGTTTTTATTTTGTGTCCTACACTGTGAAAACAAACCGAATGTGTGTTTACGCGGTTTTCTTTAATTCACGAAAGTTTTGTGTGCTTTTGGAAATGGAGCCGTGGTCAGGAAAATGGCAAATTGAGTCATACATGTGCCTATCGAACTAAAATGCAGCAAATAAGCTTGTCCTTTTTTTTTCCCACAAAGTATGACTCATTGGTGTGACAGCGCCGGGTGAATGAATGTGACTGGCGTTCGTGCCGACAAATAGACTCTCAGTGACTGCTCAGCAGGGGCGGGACAACAGGAGCCCGCGTGGCCAATGAGCAACAAACTTCATTCATAAAATAGTGTGTGGGTGATCGTTGGACGCGTGGGTTTGGAGGTTTCGTATCCCTGTCTGAAACAGAAAAAACAGTTCTGAATCACAACCAATGACATTATTTGAATGGAGGTTACCGTTATGTTTGTCCAATCGCTTCTCACTCAGAAGAGTTTTCGGTCCCGCCCCATTAAAATGGACACCCGAATGAATGAGAATGGGCTCTTTGTGATTGACGCGCACGATAGCCAATGAACGGTAAGTTTTGATTGACGGACGCGAGTTTCGGCCAATCAACAATGGACGTGGGCTCGCATGGGCGGCGATGGAGTATGTGGGAGGTCTGCACTTAAATCTGGATAGACTAGTATGTTAGAGGAGTTGTAGGGGTGTGATGCCACAACCTGCTTATATAGGGGCGCACACATTGAAGCTTTATTAAAGCAGTGCATGACGACTAAGTTTGCAGGTAATTTACCACGCACAGCCAGCCAGCCGTAGACATGGAGTCGTTTAACGTGGTGGAGACGCTACAGCCTGCCGAGAGAGCGCTCTTCTGGGTCGGTGCACTTATCACGGCCTCGCTGGCGCTGTGGCTGTTGTACAAGATCATCACTGGCTTTAGGATATGGGTGCTGGGAAACGGGGATCTACTCTCTCCCAAATTGGGGAAATGGGCAGGTAAGTTGAACGACATGCGTTGGGAATGAGAGACATGGGTGGGATAAATGTGGTGCAGCCTTAAACTAAATAAAGATGAACTTCATGGATTTGGTGGGGAACTAAAAATGTCTACTTTTTGCGCATCAGGTGTAAGTGAACATTTTTGTTATCGTTTACTAAAGGCGAATGCTTGTATCAATCACATACATGTATAATCGTTAAAAGATTAAGATCAGCAGACTATTTGAGGCATTAGTATTTTATGCGTATGGTCAATGGAGGCGACGTGTGTCTCAGGTTGACTGATTGCGCCATACATTCATATATTATGCGCAGATAGCATGTCACTCTGAGTCATTCAGGTATTATTTCAGCCTGACACTTTTAAAAACGACTAATTGGATTTTAAAATAGACTAACTGGATGAAGTTTATAGTTACAAAACCATTGTCAAATTTGATGTTTTATTTAAAACGCATACTTTGTATTATACAACCAATATAACCAAAACGTCTGTTAATCATTTTTCGCATTTCAAGTTTTTCCTGAATCGTATGTGCCTGGCCTGACACAGTTATCCAGTTTCCCGACAAACGCGCTTCTTCACGTCGCTTTGACAGTTTCGTGGGTAAAATGCGGCTTAAGCAGATGTCTTTTTGGCCGGTGTTGTCCGCTTCATCCCTTCACTGGGGTACTGAGGTTGGTTTTGGCAACATGACGCAGTTTAAAACGCCAATCTTAATTATAATGCGGGTCCATACCACGTGCGGCATGTGAGGGGAGACTTGTGTGTGTTGCTTAAATGTACAAAAGGCGTGAGGTACAGCACAAAGATTTTCTCCTGACGCAATCGCACTCTCAATACTGTTACTTCAAAACTCATCACACTGTTAAAGATTTTGAAATGGCTCACCATGCCATAGTCTTTCACTGCCTAGGATGTTGCCTAGGCAGCAGGTGTACTAGCGTTCAACGCCCCTAGCGGTCGGCTTGGGTAGTGCACATGCAACGCGATTTGAGGGTCGCAGTATCTTCTGTAGTGAGTGCAATGCCAATGATTCATTTCAGAACTCTTTTTTTTTTCTTCCCCATCAAATGACATTAGCTGAACAGTACGTCTTGCAAAAACATGGGTTGGAAGGCATCACCGCTTGAAAGGTTTGATCCCACAACCCTTTAGGTTTTTGGGTTCATCTCACCTGTTAATAAAATATTCATGTCATATTTCACTCCCTAAAGAAGCCGTTATATTGTGAGTAAAAGCAACTATTATTTTCTTAAAGCCAGTATTAACTGTTTGCAAACCGATATGCTTCATTCAGCCAGTTAGATCATCTGTGAAGAATGTAGTTTCCTGTTGAATGTGTGTCAAAGGTGGCAGTTTTTTTTTTCTACCACATTTAGCGCCATTTATCGATAAACACAATATTTAAGAACAAATTAACTGGAAAAGTGGGAAATATTGATAAATAACAATGACCAAACCAATTATAGATCTTTTTATTTCTCGAATTTTTGCATAGAGAAAGCCTAATTATTGAAATTTTTATATTTTTCACTGGGACATTGTTTTTAAAGATAGTTAAACATTTTTTACCAACGTATTCTTATTGCATCTAATATATACTGATATTTTACTTGAACATTTACTTTGCTTTCCAATTTTACACACACATATATCATTTTGACTACACACACGTGTGTGTGTATGTGTATATATATATATACGTGTGTGTGTGTGTGTGTGTATACACATACGTGTGTGTGTGTGTGTGTACACACGTGTGTGTGTGTGTGTATATATATATATATATATATATATATATATATATATATATATATTCTCCTCAATTAACCCTAAATTATCAAATATAGGTATAACCACAATTTAAATTTGGGGAAATTTTGGAGTGAAATATACCTGCACATTTTACTAGTAGGTTTCGCAAGAATCGGCCCTTTGCTCACTAG